GTAAATCCAGGCCTTAGAAACCAGGGAGAACACATAAAGAGATTGTTCGTTTACTTTTCTATAAATGTTCAAATCAGTTTCTATTTTGGTTCCAATTCTCTCTTGAAATGGTGATAGCAGCAGAAACCACTCAAGGCTCATTCTTGTGGTTTTCAGCATCACAAGAGCTCTTTGGAAGGAATTACTGTCTAAGTCTCAGCTGACTATTGTTTACTCAAGATACAGGGCAGAGTTTCCATCAAATGTCCATGTGTCACACTGTGAATCAGATACTGAATAATAAAAAAATTATTTCCTTTTAGAGTCCATTTTTCATTGATTATTTAAATTGCTGCTAAATACAGCATTACTTATTTTCTCGTGTTCATTAAGGAAGAAATGTCCCAAAATCCAGGAAGTCAACTAATACCAATTTCTAAAATTATATACTAAGAAAAGACAAAAAAGTAAATTAAGCCCCTAAGTTACCAATGAAGGCTATGCATCTTATTTAAATGCTCTGACTATATAAACTAAAGAACTTAAATGAGGTTAACTGAAAAACAAAATAAATTTTTATAGGATGAATTTTAAATATATATAGATACAGCAATAGGTCAATGAAAAATATTAAAAGAAAAAGTTGAGCCATCAGATGCATAGTGTAAAATACGTTTAACATTAAGTAGGGCTATTGAGAAAATGCATTTTTTAATAAAATACATAAAAACCTATAGTATTTGTTATCTATTAGATAAATGTTAATGAAGATAATTAAAAATCCACAATGAAATTGATTAATTGCATAAAGGAATATCAAAGCACAAACTCTTCATAGTGTTACATTAATTAGTTGGGTTCGAAAGGATCTGTAAAGCTATTATTATCAGAGGTTGAACTTTCAAACACGGATATATTTCAGTACACCTATCTCTACCACATGAGGTACAATGAAATGACCACTACTGTGTCAGATTTAGTAAACTCCATAATTTTGATCCTCTTCATTTCATTCATAAAATCCATAAGTGTTTTTGCTACACCTAAAAGTTACAGTAAAATTGCCCTTCTTTTAGAGAAGATGCCTCTGGAGTCTTGATTAGGTTCCTCATAGGGCACATTAAGAGGAAGAGTTTATTATGGATGCTGAGCTAATTGTAAATGAGCTAACGCCAGAAGCCCTCAGATTTTAGAATTGGTAACCAAGACAAAAAGAGAGAGAGAGAAAGAAAAAATGAAGTTCCATAAACATGAGGTCGATTCACTGAGGTGAGTAATTTTAGAAATCGTACACACACAAGAATATCTGCTATCTTAACAATTGAAGGACATGATTCAGCCATGAAATCAAATACACTCAGTACTGTTTTAGTACTTATCAAATTCAGATCATTTGTCAAATAAGTACAGTTAGTACCTTCAATTTCACATGAAATCCAGTTCAGAGTAAAGTAGCACTGCAGCGGTCATGACCATAAAAGACGGCCGAACTGATTTCATTAACAATGTTTTTACTTAGAAATTGTCCATATGATTCTATCAGATATATCAATTATAACAATAATGTTTAATAGTTTATCATTATATCATTAACAACTAATATTACAGTTTCATGATAATTTTGCTTTTGCCCCTGTTGGAAATTCTGTGGGCTGGTTATTATTAGACCCATACTTTTGAGGAAAAAGTAAGATATTTGCTCAAATCTCTATGATTTATCACCTATATATTAATAGGTGAGTTCAAATCCAAATACCACAACCCACATTAAAAAAAAAAAGTCCTCAGACATAATTTTTTATCTCAACTTCTAGTAGAGTACATTAAACATTGCAATGTTTGAATGAATATCCTCAATCATTTTACTTCCTGATCAAGAAAATGGGGGTAATCATTCTGTTTCCAGATCAAAATCAAGAAAATAGGGGTAACTACTTACCTCATAAAACTATTGTTAAAACTACACTTAAAAAAATGTAGTTTTGGGACCAGCAGTTAGCGTAATGGCTATGTTGCTGGACTCCCATGTGGTCAACCATGGTTCAAGAACCAGACCCAGTGGCTTAAACACTCCAGGCATGTGTGCGTGTGTGCCCAAGATCCCGAGAGGAGAATGGAGGAGAAGGGGTTGCAGCATGGCCATTCCCTTTGGGGGGGGGATGATTTCTCGCTTTCTGTCTCTCTTTCTCTGGCTTTCTGGTGAGCACATGCGCCCCCTATAGCAAAAAAAAAAAAAAAAAAAGTAGTCTACCTACCTCTCATGATCTGTGCAAATACTTAGCTATACTGCAAACCAGTCAATGAGCTAATTTTACTGACAAAGTTTGCCTTGGGAAAATGGTTTCTATCTTTTTACCATTGTAAATCCATTACAGAAATTGCTTACTACTCACTTTTCGGTCTATAGTGTCCAGAACAGTACCTATTTCATGGTCTCTCCTCAATTTGTATTTATTTAATAAATAAAATGAAAAGGGAGAAGAGAAAGAAAAAAAGAAAGGAAGAAAGGAAGGGGAGAGGAGAGAAGATAGAAATGAAAACAAGAAAAGAGTCATTTAATTGTGACTCAGAAGTAGAAACATTTCATATCGTTCAAGAAATATTAACACACAAAAATCAACTTCCACAGAGAGGATGACTTACTGAATGTAAGTCTATATGTAGCAAAATTCTATTTCGTTAATTTCTTTTGCATATATAAATGAAAAAGGACAATATTTTTGCTTTATTTAGAATATTATTATTTTATCAACCTTGTGTAAAACTAGCAATGCTTCAAGAATTGCATAGTATTATTTTATTCCTCAAGAGTAACTGAATGCATAAGTAAAGCACGGTATTTAAGAGAATACTGAACAAAAATAAATGATAGGTACCAAATTATTTATGTGATCACTGAAACAATTTAGTGGATTGATGCTTACCAGTAGATCTTTTCCAGCCCATTTGCATTCATCTCTTCTAGTGTAAGATACTGGCCACACAATCTAAGGGCAGAGAAGAAACATTTATTTTATGCTAATTAAGTTCTCCAGGAATTCCAACATTGTTCTCCAACATTATCCAACCTTTTAGAGGTGGTGGGGGCAATTGTAAAACAAGTCACATAAAACATAATAAGCAGGAACCCTTCTTTCAGTTTAGATTTTACAGTGACTTCAATAATTACTGTAAACTTCAGTCATTCATATTCGTTCTTTCTATATACAAACCTTGGCTGTATGTGAAATTTGAGCGAGACAAAATCTGATGTAGTAAAAATGTACAGTGTGCAAAGGTGAGGCTATGTGAGAAGCTAGTGAAGAAAAGCAGAAATGAGCAGGGAACATGGTTCTTTCTCTTCTAAATCAGGCAGCCTTTATCATAAAAGAGTAACAGTGAAATTTTAACCCTCGGTGTTCTGAATCCATTTCCCTCATTCAAATCTGACCTAACTTGATAGGATAAGTAATTGCGAGGGTTAGAAAAACCCATTTTACAAAGAGATCTCTGTTCCTTTGTTTCTCTCTTTCTCCTTTTTTCTAGTTCAGGGAAATAATTCAAAGTAGCATTGGTTATTTTGAAGAAATAAACATGGCATTAAAGAAGTAAATAATGGGGAAACAGCAGATGGCATAATGGTTATGTTGCTGGACTCCCACATAGTCAACCCAGTGGCTTAAAAACTCATGCTGGGCAGGTGTGTGTGCCCAAAATCCCAAAAAAGAGAATGGAAGAGAAGCGACTGCAGCATGATCATCACCCAGAGGGGTAATCTTTCCTTTTCTGTCTCTCTGTCTCTCCGAAAAGTGCACATGCCCTCTAGCAAAACAAAACAAAACAAACAAACAAACAAAAAACTCTCTAAAAAAAAAAAAAGTAAGGACCAGCAGATGGTGTAATCACTATATTGCTGGACTCTAGTGTAGTTGAATGCGGCTTGAGTCTCAGATTGATAGCTTAAAATTCATTCTGAGTGTGAGTGCATGCATGCCCAAAATCCCAAGAGAAGAATGGAGAAGGGACTCTGGTATGGCCATCCCTCCTTGGGGGGAGGGGGGCCGTGGTGATTTCCTGCTTTCTATCTCACTGACTGTCTCTTTGGCAAGTGCATGCGCCCTATAGAAAAAAATTTCTCTCTTAAAAAAAAAAAAAAAGTAAATAATAAGGAGATTTCAAAAAGTTTGTGGAAAATATAATCATGAACTTATTTTAGTGCAAAAAAGTTGAAATTAATTGGTAGTATTTCCATAATACTAATTTTCCATGAACTCTATTAGTAGGATTCCATTAATTTTCCATTATTATTATAATGATTTTGAATTTAAGAGCAAGAACAATAGCAAGGAAACTATGATTTTGAGCAAGTCACTTCACTTTTAATTAGTTCAAAATATATTTACTACAAGTCTAGCTATTAGAAGATATTATGACATATGCAGAATGTACAATTATTACTCTAGGATTTTTCTCAGCTATAAAATAGGTTTTTATATGACAATTTGGTTCTTTCAGGGTTAGAAAAAATTGAATATATTAACCACAACCTAAATATTTATTTTAAAAAATTAAGTATGTTAAATATGTAGTCTTAATAATCTGTGCTCATATAGCATCTATCTATATGATATATGTATAACATATATATATTTTATACATGTATATCAATTTACAAAATAAGAAATTATAATAAATAATACAATATACATAATATTATATAAATAACTAATCTAGTCTCCTAATTAAACTATCAAATATTTCTAAATCATCTCATATTTTGCATTCATTTTATAACGA